TTTGGATAATTTCCCAGCCAAGATCCGTGCCGAAATCGAAGTTTTTTTGAAGTGGTAGCGGCCAAATAAACTGTTTGTTAAAAAAATAACGAAAGTAACGCAATAATCTGTTAGCGTGGCTGCCTGCCGGATGATCGGAAATTAGTATTTTCTCCGTCCCTTATAACTTTGTCAACATTCCTTTTTTGAATGATCTACTAACTTTGCTACTTTCTTTTTTAAGTAAAGAATTTGTGATTCCAGTTAATAATCTCTTCTCTGCACAAACCTCAATCACACAAATTTTACTTTAGTAATCCTCGTACCGGTCAAACTTTGCAAAGTTATTATAGACGAAGGAAGTATAATTTAGTAGCCTGTTATCCAATCCGTAGACCCTAAACTCTTTGGCCAATTGAATTTTAAAATTAATCAAAAATACGGAGGCAAAAGGATTAAGGGTATGTTTGTAAAAGATATAAAAAAAGGATTTTCGGTTTTTGATTTAAAAAAGTTGAAACAAGTGTTTTCAAATGACAAGTTCCGCTTAAATTAAATACAGAAAAACTAAAAGCTAAAAACTGTTTTTTACGTTTTCTATTACAAAAAAGGCACATATTTTATCGAACACTATCAACTTTTACTTTTCCAAAACATTTTTCTCAAACACTATCAAGTTTTACTATTAAACATTTTTTTTCTAAAATCACTTTTGAAAGTGATTTTTAAGCAAAAACAATTGCAAACACTCCCTTATAAACCGAGAGATGAGATCACAAGACTATGAGAGTAGAGTACCCGCATACAAATTGAAATTTGTAAAATGAGTTATTCTACATGACTATATCCAATTTATTAATTGCATTAAATTTGAAACTCTGGAGTATATTTTTTCTAATTTTCTTGAAGTTGTTCGTTTATCAAACTTAGTTTGAAACTTGTTGTTTTAAATGGTATTAACTAACCTGTAATATAACTAATTAGTGCTAAAATAATATATAGTACTTGGTATTTTGTGGTATTTACTATGATGGAGAAACGAAAACAAGAGTTAGGGGCATCAAAGAGAAAAGAGTTTTTCCATTTTCAGTCTCTCGATTATTGTATGAGGAACACTTTTAGTACTTGACTGTGAACTTTTCCATTTTTAGCCCTCGACTATTGAGCAAGAGACATTTTTAGTCGTCGACTTTAAAATTTCCCTCATTTGGTTCCCGAGAATTATCAAATTGACAGTTTTAATCCTTCCAATATGATTTTAACATAATAAGTGGATGACTAAAAATGTCACTATTTTAATAGTCAAAGAATCAAAAGTGTCACTTTTATTATAGTCGAAGAACTAAACATGGAAATTTTCAAAGATGGGTACCAAAAGTGTCTTTTGCACAATAGTCGAAGGACTAGAAGTGAAAAAATTCAAAGTCGAATATTAAAAGTGTCAGCGAAATAATAGTCGGAGCTTTAAAAGAAAGCAAAAACTTGAGAAAATTTAAGAAATGAAAAGATAAAGTAATGCAATCTTTTGCGAGTTTAATGGATATTTATGTAAAAACAAATTTTCACAAAAAGTTTTTACTTCATATTTAATTTCATTTAAATTTTATTTTTTTGTGCAAAATTTAATATTTTATAATTTTATAGTTTTATGATAGTATTTTTAACAAAGAATATTTTCATATCATTTTCATATTATCAATATTTTCTCTATATAAACATATAATTGGTCCAAGTTAGATCATATTAACTTGAAAACTCAAGTTGGCTAACTAAAATGGGACATAGGGAGTCTCAAATTTAAGTGAATCGACCTTTTACATTTAGTAAAAACTGGTGTTATAATTTTAAATTACTTCTTATTTAATTTCATTATTAATTTTAAATATTACTACCTCCTTCACAAATTGATTTGCAAATTTGACTTTTTTTGGTCAAACTGTTTTATTTTATTCGCTTAATTAGGATGTTAATTTTTAAATATATTCTAATTTGGAGTTTACAACTTTGAAGAGATTTTAATGTAATTTATGAATATATATATTTTTATTATTAAAAATTGAATTCATTATCAACAAGGAGCATTGACTTTTATTATTGATTGACAAAAAATGTTTACTTTGAAAAAGAATTTGTGATAGAGGGAGTATTTGATTTCATTAATCATTGGTTGCCTGGGGCATAAAAAGTGCTAAAGGCGGCCCTGAATACATATAATTGCATTGTCAGTAAATGTGACAAAAGTCTTTTTATGTGGAAAGCTTCTTACAAAGCTAAATCTTCAATGACTAAACGGAGAAAACGTTTTTCTATGTTGTGCATTAAAATATCTATATTATAATGACACTATTTATAAAATCTCATATATCTATATTATAATGACACTATTTATAAAATCTCATATATCTATATTATATCTATATTATAATTGTGAAGTTGTAAACCGCTCATATAGCTTTAATGGATAGAAATTAATAGAATAAAATATATGACACTATTTATAAAATCTCCAGCTTGCATAAAACAATCACGTAATCTTTTCATGTTTAGCGTTTTCTCAAAATGAATAATACGTAGTAGAAAATATCGTAAGTCGTCATCCATGACTTCATAACACATACTCCTTCCCTCCCTTAAAGTTTGTCACACTTTCCCGAAACGGATGTCCCAAAATGTTTATCCTACTTTTTCAAATTTCTTATTTGGTAAATAAATCTATACCAAACAGTGTCAAACAGTGCAAAACAGTGTCAAACTGTGTGTTAAAGTGTCAAACAGTGTCGCTATAGTGTAAAGTCAAATTTATCTCCTTAAAACTTGTGAAGTCAAACTATGACAAACTTTAAGGGACGAAAAGAGTATGAAGTACTCCCTCCGTCCCAATTTGATTTGCAAAATTTCCTTTTTTAGTTGTTCCAAAATGGTTTTTCACTTTCCATTTTAGGTATGTAAATAAGAATAAAGTGACAAATTTACTCTTACTTTTACTTTTTCTCCATTAACTTAAAGGCATCTACTTTTAAAAAGATGGTCAGAAATGTGAAAAGCGAGCATCATTTATTGTCATTTCTTAATCCTTGTGCTGGTCAAAGTTTGCAATTCAATTCGGGATGGAAGAGTGGCTACATTTGAACATTTGTAATGGCTAATAGTAGGTTGATCAGCTGCTGTCATTGTTATGGTCGTCATCAATGACTTTAAAATGCATGTATTTTTCAACACTTTTATGTAGTTAATTTGTCAATAACATTAATCCTTTGGTACATATTTATACGTAATTGTCTATGTATAGACAACCTACAATTTCGGTTATATATAAAATTTGTATACATTTCATACATATTTATACATAATTGTTTATGTGTACAAAGGCATCTCGTGCGGACACATATATTATGACGTATAAATGCGTGGGAAATATGTAAAAATGTCACGATACAAATACAATTTTTCTATTTTTTCTCTCGAATGCATTTATAAGTTGCATGGTTCTTGTACTATGCAGTATTATTCAGTGCGTAGAAAAAATAAGGGCATTGGAAAGTTGTTCGGACAAAAGTAAAAGTAGTGTGATATTCTTGAGTAGAGTAAGGATGATTTTACTTGGACTAAATTTTTTTAGGCCGGTCTGGTAAACGCTTGGTCTCTGTGTATTTTTTAACTATCCAAGTATGGTCTGGTCTGATTTGGTCTATTCTGGTCTGAATTGGTCTATTCTGGTCTGATGTGGTCTTAACTGGTCTGGTCTGGTCTAGTCTGCTCTTGAATACAGTCCAAGTAAAAACATCTTAAGCGTACGTGTTTCCGTCTAAAATAGTGGTAAATTATTATCTTATTAAAATCAAATTCTTATAATTTGATATTATCGTTAGGGTTGGGCACGATCCAAGTATTTTAGTATTAGTTTGACATTGTATCGTACCGTTTTGTACCATTCCGAAATGACATGATACAGAATGATTCCATCCTCATTAGAACCAGACCGTACTGAGCCGTTAGAAACCTCACAGATACATTACAGTTGCACCGTGAGAGCTAAGATTCAAATCATATTGTTAACTTGTAAAACTATACAAATATGATATATAAACAAAAAGTCATATACACTATATTACTGAAAATTAATAGTCATTAAAGTTCAAATTATAGATTTTCTTTAGTATATACTCCCTCCGTCCCGGTGAGTTCTTTCTAAATTGACTTGACTCGCAAATTTAGATAGTGAGAATAAAGTGAAAATGTATGGTTGTAGTTGAGTGAGAAAAAGATGAAAGAATAAGAACCACATATTTTTTCCAAAAGTGGAAGTTGGAAGAATTAATTGGGACGGTCCAAAAAGGAATGTTGGAAGAAATGACCGAAACGGAGGGAGTACTATACTACTAAAGTATAACAAAAATTATCTAAAAGGGGGAAAAAATACTCCCTCCATCCCTTAGAAAAGTGCTCACTTTCTTTTTTTGGATGTCTCATATACAGGTTCACATTTCTATTTTATGAAACAATTAACAATTTTAAATGACAATTTAATCTTTAAATATTAAAAATATACATTTATAACATCATTGTTATCAACACCAACCCTATTTATTATATACCCATTGAAATTATTTCCTAAAACATACTCTAATTACATGATTTGATTATTGTTTAAATAACTGTGCCGTTTTGCCGTGTGAATCTTTCAATGGGACGAAGGTAGTAGTATTTATATAAAGACACACAATTAGCTGCTTCAGGGACACATGAATTAATTTCCGAGCTATAAAATTGTTGGTCTTAAAAAGAGATTTACTGGTATGAGAAAATATAAAAAACTCAAGTGTATTTTACTTGAACAGTTCGGTATGGTGTTTTTCGGTTTTAAGAGTTTACGACCGCTCTCCCACCATTTGAAATTGTTCGGAACAAAAATCTATAGAATCGGTTCTGTTCACTTAATACGGCTCACCTCAATGTCTGGCCCAATCTACAACATAAAGTTTGACAGCGCTTTTGGAGAAGCAGAGAGTACACTATAAATCATACTCGTAGGTATTAGGTAGCAAGCTCGAAATATAGCACACTACCTGTTTTGTCTTCCAGATTCGCATATCATGGCACCTAATCAATCTCCTCAGCCATTTCCTCTTTACGAAACTAAATTTCGAAACAACAAAACATCGAGAGCAATAGAAGTCATTATTTTGGGTCTCCTCACATCTCTCATTACTTATAGGTTTCACTTTCTCAATAGCCATGGCTGCTACCTTCCTTGGATTCTTGCTCTCCTTTGTGAGTCTTGGTTTACTTTCATTTGGGTTCTCAATATCAACTCTAAGTGGAATCAATTGGAAACCATAACATATCCTGAACGCCTCTTGCAACGGTATGTAACTATATAATCTCAAACCATCATACTCTAATAACGCTTTACATAATAGAAAACGATTTTCGGAGATGGTGTTGATCGAAATATGATATTAATGTACAAATCTCTTACCCCACTTTAGGCGAGAGCCTTCACAGTTGATGCTGGGATAATGATGATGATGAATGTCATGTAATTTCAAATTATATCAAACTCTCCTATACTATAGTTATTCATTCACAAAACCTCTCTACGAACAAATTAAATTGTCAAACAAAAGAAAATTGTTTAGTATTTTTATACTAATAGTCTAATATAATTTAGAAATCTTAATAAAGTTACTTGCATATTCAATCATACTTCATAGGTCTTTCTTATTTAACCTAACACTTACGTCAATGATGTTAAACTTTGACTGATTATATATTTATACACGGTAATGTTAATAATACAAAAATTATATGAAAAAGTTATTTGTTAAAAATATTATCATAAAAATATAAATTTACTGGAAAAATGAAAGATGACTAAAAAAGGATGCAGGTAGTATTATTAAGACAAGTGATGAATTATTACGCATGAATTATTATAAGACATATGTTTCACCCAATTTATATATTACGGGGTTTGGTACAACATTATTCTCAATGCAGAGATCAAAATATAAAGAAAAAGCTCTTGATAGATGTAAAAATAATTTGAAATTTTAAGATATGAATATTACTCTTTAATCACTGAATGTGAGTAATTTTGTCGTATTTGAAAAACATTCTCAATTATGATATTACCAATTTCACCCTATTATTAAATTGAAGTTTGATAACTTCAAAACAGGAAAGCAAAATTTTAGAATGCTACTGAGTTACTCAGATACGTAGCATATACTCCTACTCCACCCGTTCTCTATTAAAGTTCCCAGTTTGACTTCACACAGATTAAGAAAATAAATTTGACTTTACTGTGGAGTGCACTGTTTGACACTGTTTGGACACTATTTGACACTGTTTGACACTGTTTTGCACTGTTTTGTTTCCTACAATGGAAGTGAGAACTTAAATAAGGAATATCCCAAAAAGGAAAGTGAGAACTTTAATACGGACCGGAGGGAGTATAAGTTAAGACATATTTTGAAATTCTACATTATCTACCTCTATTTTTTAATAAGGATTTTTGTGTTGCAAAAAGAAAAGATTTTTTACAAATCATAGCCAATTTACCTAGAAGTTTAAAAAAATAATTGAATTGAAATTTTCTCGATTGGTATGGTCTGATCTAGTGTAGTCTGATCTCATCAGGTAATATTTGTTTTACAATTATTTTACAACTGACATAGTCTAATTCAAAACATTCCATGCGTCTTTTATTAAGAATAAATAGGTTCTGTATTAAATAAAACATAATTATATATTTATGACTAAAATAAAAATAAAAATAAAAATAAATGGTAGAAATGTGATATATCATGTGGACCGCTATAACAGGTGACTAAGGGGTGTTTGGATCTGATTCTTAAAATTGCTTCTGTTCCTTCAGGGAGCAGAAGCACAAGTTGGAGTGTTTGGGTGAAAATGCAAAAGTGATTCTGGTGCTCTAGTTTACTCCTAGAATCAGTTTTTTTAGAAGCTGGGGTGACCAGCTTTTGAAAACTGATTCTGATTCTGATTCTGCTTTAAAAAAGAAGCAGAAGCAGAATCAGTTCCAAACACCCCCTAAGTCATATGTAGTAATAATTGATGTTCAAATTTTACATTTAAGTGACTGTGAAGCTTTAATAGTACTCTCACCGTCTCAAAACAATTCTCAATTTTAATTGACACGCTTATTAAGAAAGTGAGAATAAAATGAAAATGTACGCATGTGATTGAGCAAGAAAAATGTAAATGAATGTTAACTATACAAAACTTTTCAAAAAGGAAAACGAGAAGAATTGTTTAGGACATCCTAAAATGGTACTCCCTCCGTCCCGCTAGAAGGTTCCCACTTTCCCACAATTAACAATCTTAAGTGACAAATTAATCATTAAATATTAAAGTTAATACATTTATAACATCACAGTTATCAATACTAACTACATTATAATATATACCTATTAAAATTATTTCTCAAAATATACTCAAAGTACTTTATTTAATTATTGTCTAAATAACCGTGCCGTTTTGCTATGGGAACCTTACAACGGGACGGAGGGAGTAAGTGGGAAGATTTTATGAAAGGAGGAGTAACCATTAGTCATTTTTTTATAAATAAATTTATTTCAATCATATATTTCAAAAAATCTCGTAATTAAAACAGTGTTATTTAGTTCTATCTATGAGTATAATTTAATCCATATTTTACTTGTACGGTTTATTGTTTTTTTTTTTGGTAATTTGTTAAGGTAAATTACCTAGATGGGAGTAAAATCGTTTTGAAATTTCAAAATAGGAGAATAATGTTTTTATTTTAGAAATTAGTTCAAATAGGACTAAAACTATGGCAAAAACCTAAAATAGGACTTGTTATGTTTTTATTCCAAAATAGGACCATATGAGTCCTATTGGAAATATACCTATTTTTGCATTCCATTCTTACCCTTCCATTAAATATGAATTAAAAATAGTCAAAAGCCATAATTAAATGTTTAATTCATAATAAATTCGAAAAAAATTCAAAAATTCGTAGAAATATAATTAAAAAATTTATAAAATTTTTATAAAATAAAAAATTCAAAAACTTTTTTTTTTAAAAATAATTTTATTTTTAAAAAAATTAAAAAAAAATAGTAAAACTCCGTAAAAAAAATTTAAAAAAATATGGATGCCTTTCCCACCGCCTGTACTACCTCCCAGCACCACCACCTCCGGCCGATGAACAAAATGCCATTTTCCCAGAAAAATGCCATTTTTTTCTGAAAATGCCAAAAAAGCGGCATATTTCTCTTTTCGAATGTCAACATTTTCATTTTTTTCTGCCATAAATATGGCATTCGTAATGAACTTGACATTTTTTCCCCCTGGTGACTGGAGGTGGTGGTGCTGAGGCAGCAGAGGCGGCGACGATTTTTTTTTTGAGTTTTTATTTTTTTTTATTTTTTTTTTAATTTTTTTGATTTTTTGAAAAAAAAAATAATTAAATTTTTAGTATCGAATTGTTTTTCTTAATTTTTTTAGTATTTTTTACGAATTATTATTATTTTTTATTATTTTATTAGGAATTAAAACATTTTAAAAGCTATAAGGGTATAATTGTCCAAGGTACACATAATTAGTCCTATGCAAACATAGTTTATTTTTTGGTCCTATTTGTGAAAAGTGAATGACTTTTAGTCCTATTTTGATAATTAACTCTTTTTATTTCTTAAATATAAGTAATTTCTGTCAAGTTGACATTACCAGACTTTAAAAATATCAGTTTATTCCAAATTTGACATAAATTATTCATATTTAAATATTAAAAGTTAGGATTCTATTTTAAAATATAGAACTTTTTTATTTATATTCAGGTCAATTTTTAATTTGTTAATTCTTAACTTAAACAGTTTGGAAGATGGGACGGTGGAGCTTCCCGCTGTGGACATGTTTGTTACAACCGCCGACTCAGAATTGGAACCGCCGATTCTTACTGTGAATACGGTGCTATCTTTGTTGGCGGTAGACTATCCCACGAAGAAGTTAACCTGTTATGTTTCGGATGACGGTGCATCCCCTGTCACCCTTTACTCCCTTGTGGAAGCATCCAAATTTGCTAAGAGCTGGGTTCCCTTCTGTAAGAAGTTTAACGTTGCCGTTAGAGCTCCGTTTCAACACTTTAATGGCAACCCCACGTGCCCTCTTCATGGCTCCTTAGAATTCCAACAAGAATGGGAAAAAATGAAGGTATATAATTACAAAGAATTGCTCAAAATACCTGTAACGTAGTAAAATTAATTGTCCATGTACAATAAAAGGGGCATTTTCGGTGATTAGTCATTGGTTAGTCCTTAGTTGTAGACATATCTAAGTAAAGATGATATGATTAGATGTTATTTGAGTAACTTTCATTTTTCCCTTTAATTTAGGCAATTATGAATGGCCTAAAATAAGTGAAAAAAATTGACCAAGTTTACAAACAAAAGCAAGTATATTTTTTATTCAAAATATGATTTATTTACAAAAGTTTACTAAAATTTGGGCAAATCGTATTGTAAAAGAAAATATTAATATTGGTATTTAGAAAAGGGAAAGTTCCCGAAATAAGACTAAAACAGTTTGAAAATTCCAAAATAGGACTGACATGTTTTTTAATCCCAAAATAGAACTAACTACTGTCATGTTTAGAAAATACTGACATGTTTGAAGTGTGGTACTGCCAAAACATGACAGTAATTAGTCCTAATTTGGGAATAAAAACATGACAATCTTATTTTGAAATTTTCAAACTATTTTAGTCATATTTCAGGTAATCTCTTTAGAAAAATGTGTTATGTTTTGATTTGGGGACTTTTTCTTATAAGCATTTTTTCAAACTCCATACTTGATAAATTGTAATAGTTTCAGTTATGCACATGATATATTTTAACAATATTTTGTTTGAATATATTACTGGGTGTGAAATAAGAAATATAAAATTGTGTGGTTGGAGTTTATAAACTAGAGAAAGAAATTATAGGTTAAATCATAGATTTATTTATTTTAAAAAAATGAAAAAAAAAATAGAAAAAATAAAATGGGAAATTTGACAAAATCCAAAGAAAGGGGACTAGTTACAGAAATTGTGTACCCACACTGGTTATGAAAGTGAGATAAATAATTTGAAGGAAGAATAGAAACTAATAATCACACATTTTAGCGGTCTTCTTACATTAATCCCACCCAAACGTAATTCAGGAATAATCTCATCTTTGCATCTCATCTTCTTTCAACAGTCTCTCATCGGTTGATGACCTGCTATTTCATACTACATCCGTCCCGAAATGAAATTCTCATTCACTATTTATTATTCAACTTAAATCACTCATAATCTTTTACTTTACATATCAATTTTTTATCAAAATTTAAATTTTTTTATCAGGCTTTGTAGCGGTTTTAATGTAGTTTCTTAATATGTAAATGTTATTTACTAAAAATAATTCGAGTGTGAATAGGGATCGAGTTGCTTTATCGTCAGTCAAACATCGTAAACCGAACGAGGAATTCTTTACGGGACGGAGGGAGTATTATTTTTTCTTTTCTTTGCAAATCATAGAACTATAAATCCTGCATCCTATATATCTTCTCAAAACAGTTTCACATATGATTTTTCTTTTTTCTTCCTAAAAGTTTTCTCTTTTTTTACCATCACAATGCTTTTAGTCATTTTTCTTCTTTTTTATTTTCATTCATTTACATTAAGGGAGAAAAAAGAAAAATAATATGTGGGATTATTCCTGAATTACAGGTAGTTGCGACTCTTGTATATTAGAATAAACTTGGAAATGTATTTTCATGTGTGCAGTAAACAATAAACAACGGAGCATTTGTATAATCTTAAATTGAAAATGTTTGTATTTTTTAAAATTTAATTAAAGATGGATCAAGAACAATATTCAACACATATTTGCGATTTTAGGTATAACTAAGGCAATAGATCAAACTATACCGCTACAAAGAATATTTTTTGAAAAAATTTCACACAAAAATCTTTTACCCTAAAAATTATAACATTTTCTAAATTTGAGGGAATCATCACTTAGGTTGGTCTCTGTTTGCAATTAAAAACTGAATGATGTTGTGCTGAGTGATACACCAAAAACACTTTTTGCATCCAAGACTCCAAGTTAATGGACCATATGCATTATATGAGTAAACAAGGTAAGGTATTTCATATTTGTGATGTTCGTGTTGCAGGAAGAATATTCTATATTGTGTGGAAAGATAGAAGATGCAAGTGAAAAAACAATATTCGACTTTACTGGCGAGTTTTTAGCTTTTGCAAAGATTGAACGACGAGACCACTCTCCCATTATAAAGGTTTCATTCCTTTTTAATTCCTTCATCCAAGTCAATCCTGCATAGTATTAGGATGTTTGTACTTTCACTATCCACCAGGAAGGGACAGAGGATTTGTCCATCCACCTCCAAAAGAAACATCCTGATTTACCAGCCATCGGAAAGGGATAAAAGGTTTGACCGACCACCTCTAAAGGAATCATCTCGTTTAGGAGACCTGACAGTGTTTTATGTGATGTTGTTCCGGGAGCACCGCCGTCGTGGCGTTTTTTGTTCCATTACCATCAACCTCCTTGAATGACCTCCTTTCATAAGTTTAATTTAAGTTCTCCATTAATGGCTAACAAAACGATTGTTGAATCCAAGATAGAAAAAAGAAGCAGTGAGACTCACGATCAAAAGCCAAACCACGTTCACAATTGGAACGGACCAAAACCTCGGTCAGAAAAAACTCAGTCGGACGAACAATCCTCGTCTAGAGCAGAACTCAGATAGAGAAAACAACACAGGAAAGAAAACCTAACAATGTAGTAGAATGACTAAAACACACTTAAATTGTTGTGTAAGCCCACAAATTAGCCGCACGAATCATAAATCTCAGGCCCGTTTGGTAACACGAAAATCGGCTGATTCTGCTGAAATTTTCGAATTTCTGGCTGAAGTGGCTGCATTGGCTGATTCTGCTAATTTAAGAAAAAATACTTTTAAAATATATTTTATTAATAAAATAAAGAAAAAATTATATGTAAAAATAGCTAAAATGGTCATCTACAGTAAATTCAGCCAATACAGCCAGAAAAGTAATTTCAACCTTACTTTTTCTGCTTATTACACAATTCAGCGCGCGAAAGCAAAAGTTAATTGTTTGTTGAAAAAGTTGGTTGATAAACCTGATAAGCCGTTAAACAATGTTACCAAACGGCCTCCTCATCTAATTTGTCGTTGCTCAGTCAGAAGCTAAGAGGACTATTATTGAAGAAGGGGGGATAGTGTCTATTTATGTCACCTAACAAAGTTATATCCCCCCGTCCCATACGATTCTTCTCACTTTTCTTTTTGGGCCGTCCCAAAAAATTATTCACACTTACAATTTTTGAACAATTTGTGTTGTTCACATTCATTTCACCTTTTTCTTACACAACTACAGCCATACATTTCCACTTTCTTGATCTCTGTGTCAAGTCAAAGTGAGAAGAATTTTATGGGACGGATGTAGTATACTACTACCTCCGTTCCTATTATAACTTCCAAATAGGTTTTTCACACAATTTAATATAGTGAGTACTGTGTGGTGGAGAGTTGTGTAGAGGGGAGAGAAATGTGTAAGAAATGTTATGAACCACAAATTCTTTACCAAAACGGGAAAATGGGAGTTTTAATTGGAACGGATGAAAAAGGAAAGTTGAAAGTTATAATAGGAAGGGAGGGAGTAGTATTTATTACTCAAAAGGATGACACCACATCAATGAGGGCCCCTCAACCCCGACCGAACAGTACGTTGGGAGGATGTAAATTGGACTATAATCCTAATCTGACAGATAGAGAGTAAGGCTCTGTCCCCGGTACTTGAATAGGTCCTATGAATTTTTAGCATAGTAACCCCTCATCGCAATTGTCGGGATTCAAACCCGGAACCTAACCCTTGTGGTACTCCTTTCCTACCGGTTGAGCTACACCGGTAGTAGTATTTATTACTCCGTATAACTTACTGCTTGTATTAACAACCACTACAAAAAACTAGCGGGACTACAGCCAATAAAAGCTTCCATTGGACTTGTTTAATTTCGTTTTGAAAAAAAAACCATAAATAAAGAATAAAAGATGGTGCATTTTGTCTACTAGGAGTCATTTTATCTCCTCAAAATATAAATGATACACTCATATTTTTCGAGTTTTAAATGCTTTATTATTTTATTCTTTTTTGACATTAGTCCTGTTTTGTACTAGTAAAATTACCCATAATTTGCTGACATTTTCATAATTTTGAGTAATTTTCTTTTTTCCTTTAATTGGCGTAAAATTTGCAGGTAATATGGGAAAATAAAGAAGCCCATAATGTTCATGATGAGGATGGGGTTCCGAGTATAATCTACATCTCGAGGGAGAAGCGTCCAAAACATCCACATCACTACAAAGCTGGAGCCATGAACGTTCTGGTACTTAGCATTATTTATTCTGATAGTTATATATATCTGTCGTATCAGGACAACTCACCGTGGCGATTACAATTTGAAGAGGAAAAAAAAACAGTTCGATATAGGATACGGAGTATTATTATAAATTTGCTATATTCGTTCTAAAACAATGCTCCAAAATGTGGAATCTCCCACGCCCGAGGTACCCCACACCCGGATCGATAAATTTTTTAGTAGATATTAGTCACGGTGACTTAGTCGACTAATGATAATAGGTTTATACCCGTGAGCACCAGAGATCCAACCCAGCACGCAAAAATGTAACCTCCACACGGTAGCTGCGGGTTTCGAATTTCTCATCACGGAACCAACTGAGCTACCCGTGCGGATTATTCGTTCTAAAACAAACTTTGGGGGAATGGCATGAAGTAGTTGAAGGGAGAACAAAGGTTTCATGATTTATAATGAGTATCTTACTTAAAAAATAATAATTCTAATTTTATCAAATAATTTTTAATATCACGTGTTGAATTGTGTAATAATCCAAAGGGAGATTTCTCAAAATCGGAATAAAAGAGGTTTGAAATTCCAAATTAGAACTATTATATTTTTATTTCCGAAATATGACTAAGATGACAATATTTACGGTCTTGTATGCGTGATTTTCAAATAGTTGTAGTACAATGCATTTAACATGAAAACATTTATTAAAATTACTGACAGTATTTTTCAATCATGACAGTTTCATACTTGGCACTTCGCAGTAACAACTCCTATTTCGAAAATAAATACATAGTAGTCCTATTTTGGATTTTAAAACCTCAATTACTCAATTAATTTTTTGTTTATTTCATTATGCTGTAATAAAATATACGTAGTATTTAAAATACATTTCTTCGAGAATTTAGTAAACTCACTAAGTTCATCCAGCATTTCATCAATTTCCGTCGATTTCAATGTTATCAAGGTTAATTTTCTATCCCTATCGTTTCATTACCTTAGATGAAGTTCATATAGTATGTATTTATTTTTAAACTGCACATACAAATTAATTAAGGAGAAAACTCAAAAAATCCTTCAAAATCCTCGTTAGTGGTCTCATTATAAATTTATCAAGTATTCCATCCATCCGAAATTGAAGAGCAAACTTTGACATGCACAAGAATCAATCAACGACAATAAATGATGCTTGCTTTTTAGACTTTTGCTAATCTTTCTAAAAATAGATGCCTTAGAGTCCGTTTGGTAACACGAAAATCGGCTGATTCGATTGATTCTGTTGAAATTTATGAAATTTTGGTTGAAGTGGCTACATTTGGCTGATTTTGGTGATTTAAGAAAAAAATATTTTTAAAAATATATTTTATTAATAAAATAAAGAAAAAATCATATGTAAAAATAGCTAAAATGATCATCTACAATAACTTCAGCCAAATAGACAGAAAGGTAACTACAACCTTACTTTTTCTTATTACAGAGTATTACACAATTCAGCACGCGAAAATAAAAGTTACATGTTTCGTAAAAAAGCTGATTGTTAAGTCTGATGAGCCAAAAACAATGTTACCAAACGACCTCTTAATGCAAATGGAAAAAAAGTAAAAATAAAGGTAAATTTGTCACTTTATTCTTAATTATATACCTAAAATAGAAAGTGAAAATCTATTTTAGGACAATCAAAATGAGAAATTTTGCAAACGAAATTGGGAAGGAGTATAATCATTGATGTGTGTATAGTACGAAGTACAAGCATCCGTCGTAAGGATGGCAATGGGGATGGGGCCCGTGAGGAACTGCCCCGTGAGGAAGAGTTGGGGCGGGTGGTGGGGTTGGCGGCTATGGGGATGGGAAATTATTTCTTCCCCGCTTAAATATGGGGCGGGTGATGGGTTATGCCCCTGTCCCGTTCCCGCTCCATCCCCGTATATATACACATATTAATAATTAAAATAGCATGGTGGCCCAATGCGTTTAGTTGTTTTCTATCTAATAGGTTATGCCTAATGGGTCTATCTAATTCTTGTTTAATAAATCATATACTCCCTCCGTCCTGCTAAGATTGTCTCATTTCACCTTTTAGAAAATCCCACTAAGATTGTCTCATACTAAATTTGGTAAAGTTTGGGTGGCTCTAAATCATTTTTACTTTATTCTTACTTTATCAATTTAATATCAACCACACAAACTCACTTTTCTTAATAATCACGACACCTTCTCTTGTCCCAATCTTAGTGGGACGGAGGTAGTATCTTGTAAAATTGATTATCAAAATCATATAAAATCAAATGAATTTAAGAAAGTTATAAAGTGATGTTAGCTTAAATACCTAGACACAATGTGAATGTTTTCTTCTTTTACTATTATAGTGCATTAATTCTTTTCTTATGAATATCATCTTTATGATTGTAGTTAAGGCTCTCAAAAATCTAGTGAATTGAATGGAAGGTTTAAGAAAATATTATAGAGCTAATCACTGCTAATAAAGTGTTTCATAAACTGACTAAATCAAAACGTGTATAATGTGTTCTAGATTTGAAATGAGACGTAAGATTAAATTGACACTTAAAAACTAAAAGGTTTTTGGCTATATACTAGAATTGTTGTTTGATTTTTGAAAAACTGAGTGTGTCTAAAATAGTGTTAATCTTTTACTAATATTTCTCCCGTTGGATACCCGTGGGACTAACGAGTCAGGGCGGAGATGGGGTGGGTTGAATAGTATTGGGGATGAGGTGGGACTGGGGGCAATTTTTTAGACACGGGCGGGGATGGGGAGTGAACCCTGCCCCAATGTCGCCCCATTTCCATCCCTAATCTGTCGCTCGTGAATCGGACTATCGGAGTGCAGTGTATTGTACATTTGTACTATGTATTGGCAGAGATGTGATAAGAAACTTGTTTACCAAAAAGTTTTTTACAAAACTTTTTTTTAGGAAACTTTTTTTAACGATGTGCATTATTATTAAACAGACAAGAGTGTCAGGCGTGATGACAAATGCGCCATTCATGGTAAATGTGGACTGTGACTGTTACGCAAATGACCCCAAAGTGGCACTCCGCGCTATGTGTTTACTGCTCGGAGCAGAAGATGAAACGGACGCCGGATTCGTCCAATTTCCTCAGAAATTCTATGCTGCTCTCAAAGATGACCCTTACGGCAATCAATTGAAAATCCTGATGAAAGTAAGCTAATATTTAAATGGCGGTTTTACTTGGACCTATTTATACATGCAATGCATCTTAAATTCACGCTCGTCGCATTTTATCCTATATACTCCTCAATAAACTACTACAAGTCATAGATTAAAGGAAATAGGTTAATCAAATTTAAAAATTCAATATCTCAACTAAAACAGGTTGATTATTGATTAATCATGTGAAGGAATAGAAAATCTCTTGCGGCTATTGATATACAGTACAAGAAATTGACTTTTGTATCATGAATTATTCCGTTTGGTGAACAATGCAACTCATGTCTCAATATAATACGGAGTACGTAGTAGTACTTTATTATTCCTCTCCTAGATTGTCTTTTATTTTGGTTTGATTTTCTTTTTCAGTTTGCTTCAAAATGAATGTTTGTTTTTTATTTTGGCAAGAAATATGTTATTCTTATCGATTCACTCTATTATAGTCAAACTAGATTTTCACCAGCTTGACACGGTATTCAACATATATTTTCACCTATGTGATGCACAAAGCAAAATTTATCAAAAAAGACGTAATATTATTCATTTACATTAACAATAAATTAAAGAGTCAAATATTTATATGTATAAATTAAGAAATAGAGAATATAGTAATGTACTCCCTTCGGTTCTGAAAGATCTTTACACTTTCCATTTTTAACAGTATCAGAAATATCTTTACACTTCTTTATTTGCCTTATTTGGCAAATAAATTTACACAAAATAGTGTCAAACAGTGTCAAACAATGTCAAACAGTGTTTATTTCGTTCAAAACTGTGAAGTCAAAGTGTCAAGATCTTTTGGAACCGGAGGGAGTACAAGTTTAGCGCAAATAATCAAATAATAAAATTGCACAATTTTAGTGCAAATAATAAAATAATAAATAAAAATGATAGAATTTATGAAGTTTTATTTTAAGTTGTCGCTCCAGATTAATAGTGTGCGCGCTAAAAAATGGTAAATTGATAGAATTAACTTTATTATTTTTATATATGCATTGGTATCATATGAAAGATAATAAAAAGTCAAAAAATTTGATATATTTTTTTGTAAGAATCGAAGTACAAATAAAAAATTATAGCACTTTAAAGAAACATATGTTTTTAAAAGGTTAAACTTTTTATATTATCATTATTTGGTATCATATGAAAGAAAATAAAAATTTATGAATTTTGATATAATTTTTATAACAATCGGAGTATAATTTAAAACGTTATTGCACTTTTGAAAAATGTTTTTTAAATTGTTATTTTGTTTTATTTTGTATATTCAACATCATAGTCATATAAAAGATAATAAAAAGTTATGAATTTTGATATATTTTTTGTAACAATCGCAGTACAAAAACTCTTTAAAAACATATGTTTCTAAAAGGTTGAAATTTTTATATAATCAATATTTGGTATCATATGAAAGAAAATAAAAAATTATGAATTTTTATAAATTTTTTGTTACAATCGAAATACAAATGAAAAGTTAAAGCACTTTAAAAGAATATGAGATTTTATTTCGGTGGGAATTAATTTTTCCTTTTTGTTACCGAGTACTTTTAGAAAAACATGTGTTATCACTTTCTACGTGGTAATTGTTAATGGGTGCATTACAAAATTTAGTTTTCTCATTAATTCATTATTCATTACTGTGTGCTCATTTTAAATGGAATTTTTCCTTCAATTGTTATACTACTCCCTCCCTTCCTATCAAAATTTTCAACTTTTTTTCGTCGGTTCCAATTAAAATTTTCACTTTCTTTTTTTATAAAGAATTTGTGGTTCACAACATTTCTTACACATTTCTCTCTTCTTTATACAACTTTCCACTACATAATACCCACTGTCTTAAATTGTGTGTCAACCCAATTTGTAAGATAAAATAGGAACCGAGGGAATAGTTTTTTTTGCCAAGTTAATCATTGATATATTTTGGTAGGTCGTTCGTTCAATCCGTGTTAACTTTGTACTACTGTACCTACCACTCATACATGATCTTAATGTCCGGATCCAAAAGGAGCCTGTTTGGTTACTTCAACTGGCTAACTATTATTGTTGATTTATTTGACAGTTGATGGGGGCGGGAATATCAGGGATTCAAGGAGCATTTTATCAAGGAACTGGATGCTTTCATAGAAGAAAGGTTGTGTACGGCTCATCCCCGAATCACACACACGTTAATGGTAAGGAACCTTTTTTAATTGACCCGCGCTGAAAGATAAAGGTTCTCTATAACATTGGAGCGCCTTTCGAAACGATGAAATCAACTGAATCGATTATTTCTACTTTTTTTATGTTCTGATTTTAGTGACTGTATTGGCTGATTCTGCTGATTTATGACCAAATGTACTCCAAAATATAGCCTAGTTCTAATAGTATATAAAATATATTTTATTAATAATATAATGAAAAAATTATACTCCCTCCGGTCCGTATTAAAGTTCTCACTTTCCTTTTTGGGATGTCCCTTATTTAAGTTCACACTTTCATCGTAGAAAAAAAAACAGTGCAAAACAGTGCCAAACAGTGTCAAACAGTGTCCAAACAGTGCCAAACAGTGCACTCCACAGTAAAGTAAAATTTATTTTCTTAATCTGTGTGAGGTCAAACTGGGAACTTTAATAGGGACCGGAGGGAGTATTAAAAAATAGCTAAAATGTTCATATACAGTAACTTTAGTCAATACAGCCAGAAAAGTAACTTCAACCTTATTTTTTCTTATTGTTACACAATTCAGCGCACACAATCAAAAATTACGTGTTTGATGAAAATGTTGGTTGATAAACCGAAAAACAGACTCACCAAACGGGCTTTACATATTGAAATAATTACATACGGAATAAAAAAAGGATGACACCCCACCCTTAGGAGCCTCCAAAGTGTGACCAACAATTACATAAATATGATTGAAATAAAGATTGTTTATCAAAATATGACTAATGTCTAGAATAGTAATAATACGGAGTATCATAGTAAGTTATGTTCAATTGTTAAATTTGAGTTTAATTGATTTGGCATATTATAACTCTCATAAATTGTTATAAGTAAAAAATAATGTCATATTGATTCATAATAATATACTCCCTCCGTCCCCTATAACTTTGTCATATTTTCTTTTTTGCATGTCCCAAAACTTTGTCATTTTCCTTTTTAATCAATGAATTTGTGGTTACTGTCATTTCTCTCTCCTCTGCACATATTTCAACTACACAATTTCTACCTAATTATTTTCCGTGTCGGTTAAACATGACAAAGTATTGAGGGACGGAATGAGTATATAATATACTTGTATACTTGTATATTATAAGTCAAATTAAGTCTCATTTAAAATTTCGTTTATACCAATCAAACATTCGATTCAAATATTATTTAAAACGATTTACCCTTTTTATACAATATATATAAAAAAATTTATTCATTCGATGTTTTTGTGACTCTTCAATTGCCTAATGCCCCTAATTTCTCCACTGTCATTTTATTTTCTCTTTTATTTACTTGCTAGAAAAAAGTGATCGCAAAGAAGAAATACGGGCAAGATTTGGAAAATCAAAAGCATTCGTTTCCTCAGCCGCTCAAACTTTATCGTTGGGATCTTTATTAAATTCTAATCTCGAGGAGACTTCCCTATTTTCGAGTTCCCTGTTGGAGTCTGCGACCCAAGTTGCCAATTCCGATTATGAATTTGGCACCGGTTGGGGCCATGAGGTAAGTTAAGGTTCAAATAAGACCTTTTACTATCACAGAATCGTCATATAAGGTCCTCAATAAAGTGTAATATATATGTTTACTTATAAAAAACAATCAGATGAGTTTTAAAGATCAATTGATAACCCCCTAATTCCAATTTTGGCTTATATGTTGTTATTTTTACCTTGTATTTAAGTCAATCATGACAAAATATTTACATGAGCCTTCTAATCTATTTTGAAAAATTAGACAGACGCAAGCTAAACCAGGGTTACGAGATTGTAAAAAGGTTGTTATGACTCATCTGATTGCTTTTTATAGGTAGACGTATCTATATGACACTTTATTGAAGATATGGTCTTATGTGACGGTTTCATAATAGTAGAAGATCCGATTTGATTCTTTTCTCATTTGAAAACTAGCGTCTTCATCCCATTTTATAATATACACTTTCCTTGTTAGCTTATTCAGAAAATATGAACACTTTTTTAAATTATTTCACTAACTTTTTACTTTCCCCTTTTATCCCTTTACCGATTATTTTCACTTTTTATTTTTTTGTGGATCTATCCTATTTTTCTTATTTTTTGAGGTTAAAATGATAAAGCGACACCTTTCTTACACGTGCCAAACCAAGAGTCTTACATTATGGACATATGTATATATATTACGTACTACCTGTATATAGACATATATGAAGATCTTTTCCCATCTATCTAGACTGAACGGAATGGGATGATCCGATCACCTACTTTTGGGTGGATTTTTTATGAAGTTTTATGAGATTGCTATCATGAAAAACAAATTATGTCAATAAAATTTGAGTTTAAAGTTTAATCGGGAAGTCAACTAAGTAAACTACTGAAAAACTCGCGTTTGTAATATATATTTCGTCACAATATTTTAAATAATTTATTTAGCTAATTTTTAGATTGAATTTTAAGCTGAAATTTTGTGGATAAAATTTACACTTCAAGAAAAACATGATCCTAAAATTTCACTCAAAAGCACCTCAAATGGAGGCGTCCGAATGATGGTTCAAGTTAATCTCGATTGATGTGAAAAGTATTCCACACACACATATACACATACATCTATTTATTCATGGGAGGTTTCTACTAAGAACTAATCTTAAAATGAGAACTTTAATCATAAATTTCATTTAATTCGATCACGGGTAGGATACATATGATGAGGTACTTTGTGTAATTATTAAAAATTCAAACAGGGTCTTTAATGTGATTATTGTAAAATAATTACAAAAATGTCACCTTGTTAATCTACAACTTTGATTTCATAAATCAAAGGTGTAGATATCACAAGTTCTTATTTATAAATATTTTCTCGTTTTAAAGGGAGTTCTCACTAGAACACTCCCTAACACACACAGTATCAAATAAAAAAAATTGACGAGTTAAAAGTGGATATTGGATCTCTACTCAGTTTTATCACTTAGAAGCTATTTTTCACCTAATCTGAATGTTTCTAATATGAATTTTTTAAGTTTAGATCTAATCTGATCTGAATTTTTCAGATCTAATTTGATCTGAATTTGGCTTTTTGGTATTGTGAAAAGTTATAAACCGAATAGAAAGGTTCTCAAATACAATCTTATATTCACTTTATTAAGTGCGAGTACAATGCGAGAAGCTTCTTTAGTGCTCAACTTTAATAATCTTATTCATATTCTATTTGACATATTTCATATTTCATTTTCCAACTATTATTATATGGTGACATTATTGTTCTTCGCCTAATTTGATAAAATCATAATAATGAAAAACTAAAAATATCTTTTTTATAATACTAATAATTTAATGCGTAAAAATGTAAAACTTTCTCTTAGGTCGGGTGGATATACGGATCTGCTACCGAAGATGTGCTGACCGGGTTAACCATCCACAGCCGGGGTTGGAAATCAGCCTACTGTGACACCAACCCTCCCGCTTTTCTTGGCTGTGCACCAACTGGTGGGCCGGAGGCATTGATCCAACAGAAACGATGGGCCGGTGGGTTGATGGAAATACTAACAAGCAAGCACAACCCAATTATCAGTACCGCTTTCCGTAGGCTTAAGTTCAGGCACTGCCTGGGCTATCTATGGATTTTGTTATGGCCAGTTCGGCCCATTTTCGAAATAGTGTACAGTCTTCTCCCTGCTTATTGCATCATAAGCAATTCAAGCTTCCAGCCAAAGGTAAATGAAGCCGCCATTATAGCGCCAGCTTCAATTTTCATCGTCTACAACCTGCACACCTTATGGGAATACATCACATGTGGGGAATCGACGCGGTCGTGGTGGAACAATCAGAGAATGCTGAAGATCAACGCTTCTGGGGCGTGGTTGTTTGGATTCCTAAGCGGCGTTTTTAAGGTTCTCGGATTCTCCGACACCATGTTTGAAGTCACTAAGAAAGATTTTTCCGGTGACGACTCTCTGGAAAGGGAGAAATTTGACGCTGGAAGGTTCACATTCGATGATTCTCCTCTGTTCATTCCCGGTACGACCATTCTGCTTGTGAACGTTGCAGCTCTGTTCATCGGATTTCTGGATTTCAAAAATCGGGTTTGGGGTTTAGGGGAAGTGATATGCAGTATCTGGGTAGTACTGATGTATTGGGCATTTCTCAAGGGCTTGTTTGGAAAGGGGAAGTATGGGATTCCGTTTTCCACTATTCTCAAGTCTGGAGCTTTGGCATTGATTTTTGTTCACGCTAGCAAATTCCCTTACTGAAGTGCTGAACCAACCTTGTAACTAGTTGAACTTAGTTTATCTTTCTAAATTCAATAAAAAACAACAGGCTTGGCATTATTTTGCATTGAGTAATTGCTAGAGTGATCGATGGTGGCTGTTTTTGTGCTTATCTACCTTGAATTTAAACTTTTTTTACTTAAGTAGTCATGCATTATAATAGGAACTCTCGTTAAAATACACCGTACGGCCGGCTGTACGGTGCTCACCGTACTGCTGGGTTTTTTTGTAATTAAACCTCCGCGATTCAGCCCTGTAACTCGCGATTTAGCCCTGCAACTCACCAACGAAGACGACGAAGGACGACAAATCGAAAGTCTGGTGCAACTCACGAACGCAGATAGCCGATAGCCAAGCTTCCAAGTGCAACTCACGAGTCACGAGTGAGATTCTTAGCCGACGCAGAGACGGCTCTACCCTTGCGAGCGATTCCTATTCTTCACACTCTATTTTCCCGTCTCTGCTAATTACTGGTCTGCTACGTGGGCTGCCACAGTTTTTTATACAAAATAAAATTATGAGCATAGTAGACATTTCGAATGAGTTTTATGATTGCTCATTTTGTAATTTATGTATACTCATTTGATATTTGCTTAATACTCATTTTAAATGAAATGAGTTTTATGTTAAACTCAAATGAGTATAACGCCCAAAAAGAATGAGCACACACAAATGAACCTTTTAGTTATTTGATACTAACTTGTAAGTTATGTATGCTCATTTTAAAATGTTGAACATTTCAAATGTATCGTACTAAACGAAAAAACAATAAACCAAAAGTGATATATAAAGTTTGAAGCAGAGATCACTGATTCTCACTGTTAGGCTCCTAATACTCAAAAGAACAGGATTGATGCTCATCAAAGTTGCATAAATGCTCATTTAGGAGAATCCGCGATTTTCACAAAAATTACAATTTTGCCACCGGTTGTACAATGATCACTGTACAGCCGGCTGTACAGTATACACATTTGGAACTCCCGATGAACCTGGGAGCCGGGGAGGAGCCCGGGGTGAACGGTGCTAAAACTCTCTCTATAAGTTCCAAAACCGACACCTCGCGTGCGGAGAGTTAGATGGTGTCTCAATTTTTTTGTTATATACCCCTCCGTCCCGAAAAGTTCGTCAAATTGACTTTCATGGTTAATGATGATCAACTTTGATCAATGACATTTTTTTATACAAAGTTATTTCGAATATGAAAATTATACTCCATACCAAATTGTTCCTTATTCATCATTGACCAAGAAAAGTCAATCTTTCGAACTTTTTCAGACGGATGAGACAAATATCGATGTCCTACTAAGGATCTAAATCGCCTAAGTAAACATATTGACACACATTGTCTGAGATCAATGCAGAAGGGGCACAACTAGTAGATAAATTGGATGTATGGAGTTTCTCCTTCTCTTAGACTTGTACCATTATACTTTATTAGCTTTGGAACAAATTATTGTGATGATTATATACATAATCGATCACAAGCAGCATAATAATATCAGCACAATCATGTGGAAGTTGTGGGATTATAGAGCGGATTTAGTCAGCGAGTTTGACTAGCGGAACAAGTTGGCGGTTGTTTGGTAATTTATCTGTTTGACCATAAAAATTACGGAGTAGTACAAAATGTCATTTTTCAAAACGTTAACTCAAAATTCTCCTATTTGCAGCATTTCCATTTTAGTAGTTCCGTCCAAAAACCCTAGAACTGAACAACTATTTGTCTAAATGAAAACGCTAAAAAGTGTCAAACTACCATTTTTAGCTGAAACGTCGTTATTCAAACACCCTATTGTTGAATTATACATCCGTGTGTATGTACACCCCACTCAACTAACGCAGACAGCTCAATAACTAATACAGACAAAAAAAAATCGGTAACATTTTTGTAATTTAAGCCAAAAATCACGACTTCCGCTAAATGAGGATTAATGTATTTTTCTGAGCATCTGGCCTGTTCTATTATGTATTAGAAATCAAACAATGAGCATCACGATCTCTGCTTCATATCATCTAAGTTGCTTTCTCTTTCTTATTTTTTCTTTTATAAAAACTTATTAAATTATATCTATAATAGACTCCTATGAATTTCAATATGCGAATTTAATGTGATATGATATTTTTGAAATATGCATTGATATGACATTTTGAAATGAGCATGACATCTTTGGTTAGACCCGGGGGTCCGAGTCTATATACTCTATCAGGAGTCCCCCACTCTCTGAGTCGAGAGTATTCGAGGTGAAAGAGAGTAGAACTGTGTGCTGATCTGTCGCCGTCTGGTGAGTAAACTTCATGAACAAAAATTTGAATTTCTGCTTCTTTGGTTAACGGAGGCGCTAAGTCCCCCGCTCTTCCAGTCCCCCACTCCTTGAGGCGAGTGTAATGAGGTGAAGAGGAGTAGAGTAATGCGTGTCAGATGATGTCTTCAACAGGGGGCCGAGGGTTGACACCTTTTGATCCACGATGGGGAGATGCCTCGTTAAAAACCTCATTAGGAAAAACCCTGTGGGAAAAAATCATAATGAGGGAAAAAGAGTACACCGGATGCCCCCAAAATGAAACAAAAGGTGCGAGCCCTTCGGCCTGGAGATGGAGCTGTAGCGGTGCCCGTCTGCTGGATGGTCGATGCCAATCTCTAGATGTGGGTAGCTCATCATGATCAGTAGTCCTAGTCATCAAATAAAGATGACTAAGGGATGGGTCGAGCGACCGTCCACAATATGATGTCTGGTTCATCAAATAAAGATGACCAGAACGTAAGGCCGATGGGCCGAGAGGCCTGTACGAGAGCTCCACGTTGTCAAATAAAGACGACGAGGCGATGGTGCGGCCGAGGGGCCTGCATAAGAGCTCCACGTCGTCAAATAAAGACGACGGGGCGATGGTGCGGCCGAGGGGCCTGCATAAGAGCTCCACGTCGTCAAATAAAGACGACGGGGCGATGGTGCGGCCGAGGGGCCTGCATAAGAGCTCCACGTCGTCAAATAAAGACGATGGGGCGATGGTGCGGCCGAGGGGCCTGCATAAGAGCTCCACGTCGTCAAATAAAGACGACGGGGCGATGGTGCGTCCGAGGGGCCTGCATAAGAGCTCCACGTCGTCAAATAAAGACGACGGGGCGATGGTGCGGCCGAGGGGCCTGCATAAGAGCTCCACGTCATCAAATAAAGATGACGGGGTGATGTATGGCTCAGAGGCCTGCATAAGAGCTCCACGTCGTCAAATAAAGACGACGGGGCGATGGTGCGGCCGAGGGGCCTGCATAAGAGCTCCACGTCGTCAAATAAAGACGACGGGGCGATGGATGGCTGAGAGGCCTACATGAGAGCCCCACATCATCAAATAAAGATGACGGGGTGATGTATGGCCGAGAGAGGCCTATATGAGAGCGCCATGTCATCAAATAAAGATGACGGAGCGAGATATGGCCGATGGGCCTGTAAATGAGCTTCGCGTCATCAAATAAAGATGACGAGGCGATATATGCCCGATGGGCCTGCAACTGAGCTTCGCGTCATCAAATAAAGATGACGCAGCAAGATGTTGCTCAGAGGCCTACAAATGAGTTCCTCATCATCAAATAAAGATGACAGAACGATATATGGCCGATGGTCCTGTAGATGAGCTCTTCGTCATTAAATAAAGATGACAGAGCGATATATGGCCGATGGGCCTACAAATGAGCTCTTCATCATCAAATAAAGATGACAGAGCGATATATGGCCGATGGGCCTACAAATGAGCTCTTCATCATCAAATAAAGATGACAGAGCGATATATGGCCGATGGGCCTACAAATGAGCTTCGCGTCATCAAATAAAGATGACGGAGCGATATATGGCTGAACTCTGGGCTCCTTTGCCTTTCGGCCGGAGACCGCAAGATGTTCGCTATATCTGAATAGGGGGACGAGGCGGTGGACGCCTGTCTGAATATGAGGACGACGACGCTGATGAGTCAGTCCGAATATTTGGACGACGGCGCTGACGAACCGGTCCGAATATGGGGACGATGGCGCTGGTGAGCCGGTCCGAATATGGGGACGAGGCGATGATAAGTCATGCGTCATATGAAGGCGACAGTCACCATCCAGGAAGGGAATGGCGAGCCTGGTCGCTAGATAAGGACTTCGGCGCTGGGGCCGGTCTAAATGTGAGGACGAGGCGATGATGAGCCGTGCGTCATATAGCGGCGACGGTCGCCGTCCGGGAAGGGATGGCGAGCCCAATCGCTATAACAAGACTTCGGCGCTGGGAGCCGGTCTTGAGAGAAATAATCACGTCGCGCCCGAGAGGCTGATCGCGATGTGCGGATGACAATGATGAGGAGCCAGTCCGAAATATGATGACGAGGCGATGATGGAGCCGATCGTCATATAGAGGCGATAGTCACCATCCAGGAGGGGATGGTGAGCCTGATCGCTAGCCCAACACACTCGGCGCTGATGAAGCCGGTGTTGGGATAGGGTGTGACGTCGTGGCCGAGGGGCCGATCGTGATGCGGGGTCGTCAGCACTATGAGGCTGATCCAAAAGTCCAAGCAGCGGTCGCCATCCGATGAAGGAATGACTAAGACCGGTCTTGAGATAGATAGTCACGCCGAGGCCGAGGGGCCGGTCGTGATGCGCGGATGGCGATGAAAAGAGCCAATCCGAAATATGATGACGGGGCAATGATGAGCCGGCCGTCATATAGAGGCGATGGTCACCATCCAGGAAGGGATGGTGAGCCCAGTCGCTAGCTCAAGATCGCGTTGAGACCGAGGGGTCTGCCGCGATGTGAGCATGACGGCGATGATGAGCCGTTCCAATAAATGATGACGAGGCCATGATGGGCCAATCGTCATATAGAGGCAACGGTCACCATCCAGGAAGAATGGTGAGCCCGATCGCCAGCTCAAGACTCTCGGCGCTGAGGAAGCCGGTCTTGAGATAGATAATCACGCCGAGACCGAGGGGCCGGGCATGATGTGAGGACGACGGCGATGAGGGGCCGGTCCAAAAATCCATGCAACGGTCGTCACTCGGTAAAGGAATGACTAAGACCGGTCTCGAGATAAATAATCACGTCGAGGCCGAGGGGGCCGGTCATGATATGAGGACGAAGGCACTGAGGGGCCGGTCCGAAGATCCATGCAACGGTCGCCATCAGGGAAGGGATGACTAACACCGGTCTCGAGATAAATAATCACGTCGAGGCCGAGGGGGTCTATCGTGATATGAAGACGACGACGATGAGGAGTCGGTCCAAATAATGATGACGAGGCGATGGTGAAGCCGATCGTCATATAGAGGCGATGGTCACCATCCGGGAAGAGATGATGAGCCCGATCGCCAGCTCAAGACTCTCGGCGCTGAGGAAGCCGGTCTTGAGATAGATGATCACGCCGAGGCCGAGGGGCCGGTCGTGATGTGAGGACAACGACGATGAGGAGTCGGTCAAAAAAATGATGACGAGGCGATGGTGAAGCCGATCGTCATATAGAGGTGATGGTCACCATCCGGGAAGGGATGGCGAGCCCGATCGCTGGCTCAAGACTCGCGGCGCTGAGGAAACTGGTCTTGAGATAGATGATCACGCCGAGGCCGAGGGGCCCGCCGTGATGTGAGGACAACGGCGATGAGGAGCCAGTCCTATAATATGATGACGAGGCGCTGATGAAGCCGATCGTCATATAAAGGCGATGGTCACCATCCGGGAAGGGATGGCGAGCCCGATCGCTGGCTCAAGACTCGCGGCGCTGAGGAAACCTGTCTTGAGATAGATGATCACGCCGAGGCCGAGGGGCCGGCCGTGATGTGAGGACAACGGCGATGAGGAGCCGGTCCTATAATATGATGACGAGGCGCTGATGAAGCCGATCGTCATATAAAGGCGATGGTCACCATCCGGGAAGGGATGGCGAGCCCGATCGCTAGCTCAAGACTCGCGGCGCTGAGGAAGCCGGTCTTGAGATAGATGATCACGCCGAGGCCGAGGGGCCGGCCGTGATGTGAGGACAACGGCGATGAGGAGACGGTCCTATAATATGATGACGAGGCGCTGATGAAGCCGATCGTCATATAAAGGCGATGGTCACCATCCGGGAAGGGATGGCGAGCCCGATCGCTAGCTCAAGACTCACGGCGCTGAGGAAGCCGGTCTTGAGATAGATGATCACGCCGAGGCCGAGGGGCCGGTCGTGATGTGAGGACAACGACGATGAGGAGTCGGTCCAAATAAATGATGACGAGGCGATGGTGAAGCCGATCGTCATATAAAGGCGATGGTCACCATCCGGGAAGGGATGGCGAGCCCGATCGCTGGCTCAAGACTCGCGGCGCTGAGGAAGCCGGTCTTGAGATAGATGATCACGCCGAGGCAGAGGGGCCGACCGTGATGTGAGGACAACGATGATGAGGAGCCGGTCCTATAATATGATGACGAGGCACTGATGAAGCCGATCGTCATATAGAGGCGATGGTCACCATCCGGGAAGGGATGGCGAGCCCGATCGCTAGCTCAAGACTCGCGGCGCTGAGGAGGCCGGTCTTGAGATAGATGATCACGCCGAGGCCGAGGGCCCGGCCGTGATGTGAGGACAACGGCGATGAGGAGTCGGTCCTATAATATGATGACGAGGCGCTGATGAAGCCGATCGTCATATAAAGGCGATGGTCACCATCCGGGAAGGGATGGCGAGCCCGATCGCTAGCTCAAGACTCACGACACTGAAAAAGCCGGTCTTGAGATAGATGATCACGCCGAGGCCGAGGGGCCGGTCGTGATGTGAGGACAACGACGATGAGGAGTCGGTCCAAATAAATGATGACGAGGCGATGGTGAAGCCGATCGTCATATAAAGGCGATGGTCACCATCCGGGAAGGGATGGCAAGCCCGATCGCTGGCTCAAGACTCGCGGCGCTGAGGAAGCCGGTCTTGAGATAGATGATCACGCCGAGGCCGAGGGGCCGGCCGTGATGTGAGGACAACGGCGATGAGGAGCCGGTCCTATAATATGATGACGAGGCGCTGATGAAGCCGATCGTCATATAGAGGCGATGGTCACCATCCGGGAAGGGATGGCGAGCCCGATCGCTAGCTCAAGACTCGCGGCGCTGAGGAGGCCGGTCTTGAGATAGATGATCACGCCGAGGCCGAGGGGCCGGCCGTGATGTGAGGACAACGGCAATGAGGAGCCGGTCCTATAATATGATGACGAGGCGCTGATGAAGCCGATCGTCATATAAAGGCGATGGTCACCATCCGGGAAGGGATGGCGAGCCCGATCGCTAGCTCAAGACTCACGGCGCTGAGGAAGCCGGTCTTGAGATAGATGATCACGCCGAGGCCGAGGGGCCGGTCGTGATGTGAGGACAACGACGATGAGGAGTCGGTCCAAATAAATGATGACGAGGCGATGGTGAAGTCGATCGTCATATAAAGGCGATGGTCACCATCCGGGAAGGGATGGCGAGCCCGATTGCTGGCTCAAGACTCGCGGCGCTGAGGAAACCGGTCTTGAGATAGATGATCACGCCGAGGCCGAGGGGCCGGCCGTGATGTGAGGACAACGGCGATGAGGAGCCGGTCCTATAATATGATGACGAGGCGCTGATGAAGCGGATCATCATATAAAGGCGATGGTCACCCTCCGGGAAGGGATGGCGAGCCCGATCGCTAGCTGAAGACTCTCGGCGCTGAGGAAGCCGGTCTTGAGATGATGGACGGCGCTGGGCGCTCGTCTGAGAATGAGGGACGGCGCTGGGCGCTCGTCTGAGATGATGGACGGCGCTGGGCGCTCGCCTGAGATGATGGACGGCGCTGGGCGCTCGTCTGAGATGAGGGACGGCGCTGGGCGCTCATCTGAAAATGAGGGACGGCGCTGGGCGCTCGTCTCAGAATGAAGGACGGCGCAGGGCGCTCGTCTAAAAATGAGGGACGGCGTTGGGCGCTCGTCTACAAATGGAGGACGGCGCTGGGCGCTCGTCTAAGATGAGGGACGGCGCTGGGCGCTCGTCTAAGAATGAAGGACGGCGTAGGGCGCTCGTCTAAGATGAGGGACGGCGTTGGGCGCTCGTCTAAGATGAAGGACGGCGCTGGGCGCTCGTCTGAAAATGAGGGACGGCGCTGGGCGCTCGTCTACAAATGGAGGACGGCGCTGGGCGCTCGTCTAAGATGAGGGACGACACTGGGCGCTCGTCTGAAAATGATGGACGGCGCTGGGCGCTCGTCTAAAAAATGAAGGACGGCGCTGGGCGCTCGTCTGAAAATGAGGGACGGCGCTGGGTGCTCGTCTACAAATGGAGGACGACGCTGGGCGCTCGTCTAAGATGAGGGACGGCGCTGGGCGCTCGTCTATGATGAGGGACGGCGCTGGGCGCTCGTCTAAGATGAGGGACGGCGCTGGGCGCTCGTCTAAGCCGCATGTATGGTCTTGCTTCGTCCATAATGTGTAATATTTGCCTGATATGTACTTAGTATTGTTGTGGGGATTTCATTTTTTGTTGCTCGAGGTCGGCAAGTGCGCGCGGTCCTCGGCTTCCCTCTTTTATTTTTTTCTTTTTCCTTTTTTTTTTCATTTCCGTTTCCATTCCTTATTTCGGGGAGTATCCTTCTTTCAGGCTTCGGCCGAAGGGTGTGCTCGTCCTTCGGCCGGTTCGGACTTCGTTTATAACGTCCGTGATCTCAGGGGGGTCCCGTCGCCTATTTATGACGCGGGCTAGACTTTTGGTTGGTTTCCAACGGCTGCCGTTGCCCAACCCTGAGTGGGGGGATTTTGCCACCTCGGCCATGATTTCAGGCCTGTCGTCCTGCGATCTGGCGCGTGGACGACGCGGTGAACTTCCCATTTCAAGACGCGGGCCGTTTGCGGGCCCCTCGTCCTGGGGACATCGTCGGCCATACCTGAGCGTTTCACTCTAGGCTTACGGGGCCAGGACGATGTGCTCTCTCAGCTAGGTCTGAGCCCTTCGCTGATACAAAATACAAAGCGGAGCAGACCTGAGCCTTTCGCTCGAAGGCTGCTGATACGACACGTGGTATCTTCTATTTACATTTCCAAAAAATAAGCGGAATACAATAGGTGCGTTGTTCATGGCAACGGCTTTTGGGCGACGCGATTAGCGTTTCCGAGAACGAGGTGTACCGTTTACCGCTCTCGGGCATAGTGCCATGTGCGGCCGGTAGCGGCTCTAATTTTCAGATGTCCGAGTCACCAAATAAGGGTGACTAGGGTAGGTCGATGGACCTAAATATAATTCAAATCATCAAATAAAGATGTTCAGTAAACTAGAGCTCGGGTCCACCACTTTGGGGTTTTTTGACCCGCTCTAATGGCGATGATAAAAATAATAACGCCAATAATAAATTTTCATTAGCGACCTCGGGAAATTTTAATCCCTCATAATGGTCTTCACCACCTCGGGGGTTTTTTAACCCGCCATAATGGTGGTGGAAATAATATAATTAATAATAGTAATAATTATACTACTATCATTTAATAAATATTTTAAGAGTATATATAAGAGTATTGGGCACTTAGCTGTGAAATGGGCTGAACTGTGGGCTGATGAAGAAATTGTGGCCCATCACCGATTTACTACTGCTGCCATCTTGGCTGAAAGTTTCCAAGCATCTTCAACAGTTGACTGGGTCAACTTAGGGCCCATTCATCAAATCCCTTTGGCTTCTGTGAATGAGATAGGAGAAATGGAGGAGGAGATACCTCTGCCGCTGGTCGCAGGGCATTCTGTCGGCCATTTTTGCGGTGGGTCTTCGGTCACTGTCAGAGGAGTGAGGGTGCGTGAAATCATCATAGATTCTCGTCCCTGGGCGTCGCCGGAGAGTGGAAAAGACTCGTCGGAACTGCTGCTACTCCGTTCGACGTTGCCCTGTCTCCGGCGAGATCTGGAGTGGAAGCTTTGAACAGGGAAATTGCTGTGGCCATTAATGGAGGGCTCACCAGACGATCGCGGAGCTGCGACTGGCGGCACCGGCGAAGAAGCAAGCTTCAAGCGTTGGTTGTAACGGGAGAAGGTGGAGAATCCTGAACGCGAGGTCGAACATCCCTTCCAGGAGCTCCCAAACGGCCATTAATGGTGGACCGCCCTTGGGAAATCAGATCCGGAGCAACGGCGCATCCTGGAGCAGTGCCGGTGAGATCTGGGCGGCGATGCTTCGACGTTGGTGGCGAGATCTGGGGCATCCGCAGGCGTTTGCTTGCAGGGCGGCTTCGAAGACTGCGATGATAGCTCCGGCTCAGGAGACTTCAAGATCTGCTCCTACTGGAGCAGCGGCAAGCTTCAGCAAACTGCGTCCGGCGTCAACTCCAAGGCCGGCGAGATCAGTGAACAGGTCGGTGAGTTCCAGCGGCAATTTTCTGCCGTGGCGGCGTCCGGCGACCTCTGCAACGACTTTTGTCACCTGGATCTAGATTTTTTCAGATTGATCTTTTTTGTTCTTGACATTTCCAGCTCCGTTTTTGACTGAGTTCTCGTATTTTGGATGAAGTTTTTGATATTTTTGGGAGGGTTTCTCGCTTGATTGTGCTCTAATCTCTCAACGAGAGCACCATTGATGGATTATTAGGTATCCAAGTATGTATAAAATGTAGAGATTTGAGCTCAAGTATTGTGGAGAAGATGAATAATAGAATGATAATGAATTGAGATCTAGGGTTTACAAGCTCCAAAAGGAGTATAAATAGAGGAATAACGGGTCGGGCCGCTAATATGGGCCCGGTAGCCCAACTACATAAAAGACTAATCTAGTGCATAGTTACATACAAATGACATATAAGTAGTACAATAATACAAATGATATCCGTAAGATGTGTGTGGGCCGCTGTCCGGGCCCAATAGTCGTGAGACCCGGGGGTCCGAGTCTATATACTCTATCAAGTACCAAATGATAATGCGTAACTTACAAAATATTTATTGATATGAAAATCGTAAGGTTTGTTAGTTTAACATAACGACATTTTCGTTGAGCATCAAATCTCCTCTATTGAGATGAAAATCACAGTTTCTATTAAATGAGCATCAAACCTGTTTTGTTGAGAATTATTGAAAATCGTGAATTCTGATTCATAATTTCTGATTCACTTTCTTTTTCTTATTTTTGCTTTTATATAATTTTTTAGATTATATCTATAATAGACTCCTATGGATTCCAATATCTGAATCTAATTTAATATTAAACTTTTGAAATATGCATCAAACATTTCATTGAGCATCAAGACATTTTAGATTTTTCATTGAACATCAAATTTCCTCTATTGAACATTGAAACTCTGCAATTGAGCATAAAAATTTCATAACCTATTGAGCCTCAAAGCATCTTCATTGAATAGTTAGCCGTAATAGTGCTTATCTTAAAACGTTATATCGATGCATATTTCGTGTAAATATTATCCTACTTTGAGTATAGCATAAAACTCATTTTGTGTAATCATTTTATAACATTATACCAATGCTCATTTTTTGGATGTGATGCTCATATATGTATAATATAAAAATCATTTCAATAACTCAAACATGTAACATAGTCAATACAAATAACCTAGAATAAATCTTTCTTAACAATAAAGCTCAACAGATTTTAACACAATGCATAATGTAGAATTGGTGAATGCTCATTTTAAATGTAATGATAGATAACATTAATCACTCAAAATATCACCTAAGAATCATTAATAGCTGAATCTAATGTAAGGAATAAATTGTATTTAGATTTTGATGATACTAGTGTTGGTCCCGTTTGTAATGGGAACAGTCTAGAGGGGGGGGGGGGGGTGAATAGACTGTTCAGGAATTTAAACTTTTCTCTAAGTCAAAACTGACTTATCAGAGATGGTCGAAATCTGGTGACAGAGATGGTCAGGTTCTGATGGCAGAACTAGACCAGGCAGCGGATAAGTTTCTGTTCGGGTAGCCTCAAGAGAAAAAGCTAAGGCAAAGTGCCTTTCTGATAACTCTGAAAGAAGATCTGCTGGACACAGAGTCCAACCTTAAGAGTTAATCAGTAGAATCTTAAGTGCGGGAATTAAAAGCTTAAAGTAAATGACACTGGGGTTTTTATAGTGGTTCAAGGAACAACTTGTTCCTCTAGTCCACTGTTCCACTAAGCTTGCAAAAACAACAGTTTACAACGCTTTAGTCCCTAGAACTTAAGAAGCACTCCTCGTCTTCTTCAAGTCTAGTTGCCACCCGGGATGCAGTCCTGCTTCCTGATGGCTGGTCTCGTTTCACTGAGTCTCTTGAAGTATCCCCACTTCACTTACTCCAGCTAGTTTGAGACGTCCCTTCTTTTTTAAGAAGTGTTTGATTCAAAATCAGTTTTCTCCAACGTTGCTTCTTCACAAAGGATGAGTAGATGAAGTTTTCGAAGTGTTGAAGAACTGAGGAACTTTGCAACTTGCTAGTTGGATGAGGGATTAGAAAAATATATCTTCCAACTGTAGCCTTTTCTTGTTAAGAAAGAAGTTTGAATCTCAAGAAGGCTTTGAGGTATTTGATTTAGAGTAGAATAATCTGAGCAAGTTCGTTTGGCAGATGTTGTAGCAAAGTTATTCTCGTAGTTCTTCAGAGTGTATCTTATATACTGGGAGCAGTCTTCCCGTTGGAGTGTGGAAGACAGCTTCATTAAATGCTTGTACTGTTGACTTGATCGGTTGGACCTTCGACTTGCTATTTTGGGGGCGTGAAGATACTCGCATGGTCAATCATCAGCTTTAAATATCTCTTCGTACGTACAACATTAAATGTGCATTTAATGTGTGTACAGTACCATGTTTCCGTTGAAAGGTTCGTAGTCGTTAGGGGATTTCCCGTTAGTTTAACGACCGTTGGTAAGTGCTTTCGGAATCTGGTGTGTTTGGCAAAGTCTTATGAGGCTCTCTGGTTCAATCTCTGAAGTCCGCCTCTGTTGCCAACTCTGGTATCAACACTGATGACCAGTTTCTGATGGCTTCTCTGGTGAGCAACTCTGGGAGCAACTCTGGTAGAAGCAAGGTGGATCTCTGGCAGACAGACTAAGCTAAAACTTACAAAAGAAATTCTAATACAAAATTTCTAACGGGGTACTTTCAAATTCTAATTAACCAGCATCATCAAAATCTAAATACATTAATTCCTTACAACTAGCTTTATTACGATCATAGAGTACCCCCATTAGAAATCTTGTGTTAGAATTTTTCTAAGGGTATGCATTAGATTATTCGACGGACAGAAGACCCCAGGTTCTCTGTTGCACTCCCCGAACAGAAACCCATGGACTCTGCATCTTCAACAGAATTGCTCAGCACTTAGAAGATTCAAGGTTTGCTGCCCAAGCCGTCAAACTAACGGAAAATTCCCTAACGGCTAGCAGCCTCTCAACGGAACATGGTACTGTTCACGCATTTAATGCTCAGTTAATGTGTTTCATACGTTGAGATATTTAAAGCTGATGATTGACCTAAAAATATCTTCTCACTCCCAAAATAGAAAGTCGGCTACCCCTTTGAGAACCAACCGATCTGTAACGCCCTTCTCAGGGTTAAACGAAACGTTACATATACTTATTACTTTAAAAAAAACTGCAATATAACAGCCGTTTGTTTAAGAAACAACCATGATAAAATCTCAAATATAACTAAAATATAACTCTAAATAAAAACTCAATAAAAATCTAGTTATCACCGGCAATTGTGATAACCACCTGGATCCAAGAATTTATTCAACTTCAAATCCTCAAATAAATTAAGTTATAGTAATCTCTTTATTGTAACAATTGAAATACTGAAATAAAATAATATCTACCTAGAAGCCGCCAAGGTCGTTCCCGTTAACTCATCTTGGCACGCGTTCCACTCCCTCATCATCTTCCTAGGTCTTGGCCTTACCCTTAGTATCTGTACATGTGAAGAAAGAAACTGATAAGCTTTACGTTTAGTAAGTCACTATGGATCCACAAAAATTATCTAGAAGTCTGCCAATTTATCAATAGATAAATTTAGACTATAAGCATACACCTAACAAATACTTCACAAATAACATTCTCAAATAGCTTTTGAAAGAGATCTAAAAAGAAATACTTTCTGAAATAATTTCTTAAAACTGATGAGAGATCTCAAAATACTTTCTCAAAACATTTCTGTAAAACATTCTGAAAGAGATCTCATAAACTTTCTGTAAAACTCTTTGTGGTTAATTTTAACTTTGTGGGTCCGTGATATGTACTCAAAGGTTCCAATCCGACAGCTCAGGTGAGCGACCCACCAAACATATCAGACTCTCTGAAACTCTGATAACTCTGTGAGAACTTGTTCCCGAGTACATATCACTTAATCTTTCACTCTAAATATTAGTTCTTTTTACGGTGACGTTTGGATAAAAACATCATTAAAATCTTGAAATAAAAGTACTGACATAATCTTGACTATGCCAGATAATAACATAACTTAATATGACAAATAAAATGACTCATCAAATAATTCGCTAAGCTCACATAATAGCAAATAATTTAAAATCATCTACTAATAATCAACAAGACTTCTTTCTTTCATTTGGTTGAACAAACATGTACATGTGTTAGTGAACTTACCTGTTAACAGCAGAACTCAAAATACCCAGATAAGTGTGACACCTTGATAACGTCTTCCAGCAAGTTCTTCTTAAAAGTCTTTAATTAGATATAATATAATATAATATTATTAATAATAAAATCAGACTTTGTTGTCTTCCAATGAACTGCATAACACTAGTTTTATGGAGAGATGCTATTAGACAAATGGAAATTTTCTAAGTGGAGTTCCATGCGTAGCAATCCAGTAAAACTCACTAAGCTTAACTATAAAACAAATACTCCGTAACTAACACTTTAAATTTTAATTTCTTGCTGCTACCCACCAATTGACGTGATCCAGTAAATGACCAACAAGAAGACAATCTTCTTATCTTAGAAAAATCATTATGCAGCTGACCAAATTTACGGTTACTATACAAATAAAAGAACAACCAGAACAACCCTCATCAAAATATTAATTATAAATTTGTTCCCTAACCTTTTTATTAAAAAGAACCTGCTAGTTGGAGCTTAAAGGTGCTGGGAAGGATTTCACGAGAAGAAAAACTGAAATCTGAGATTTATGTGCTAAAATCATTTGCAAGGACAACTGTTTCCACATCCATCAACCTTATTAACCAAAAGTTAAAGTGCTAATGAAGCTCCTCCAGACAAAAGATATGTACGCAGCAAGATAAAAATATTGATAGAATGAATAGTCTGCCAACTCAAAACGTAAATAGCCAGAGTGGGTAGATGTAATTGACGGTGCCAATTTAGAAAAGAAACTCCTAACAGGAAGTTACCATTACATGTTGGAGAAGCAAATTTCTAACTCAAAACTAAAATGTTTCAAATCATTGCCCAGCACATACATTGAACAAAACTCAAAATAGTTTAACTGGACAACAACAAAAATCATTTAGCTAAAAACGTTTTCAGCGATGTCCATATCTAACAACCCATTAATTTACAAATTATTCCTTAAACAATAACATCAATGAAATTTTAGGGAGAACTCAATTAGTTATCATGATCTAAAATCAATTTGTTAGCTCTGCCAATCTCAATTTGCCGACTAATATTAGCTTTCAGACAACTTAGGTGTTTGATACTTGCTTTTAGACAATCCCAGAAGAAGTA